CCTCGACCTCTAGTTGGAAGTGCTACTTGTGGAGCTGGTAAAGTTGTCTCTGGAACTAGAGCAATCTATCTACGCATAGGGAAATCTTTGGTCATTGACCTAACTCACCACAGTCAGAACAACTTTAAGATGATCTGCTCCCAGAATCACGACCAGCACACCTTGAAATACAAGATTGGGACCCATGACTCTGACTAGAGCCAACCTCAGTTCAGGTATACCGATCACCCCCTGAACTCTACAATGAGGCCTGAACAGGCCGACTAGGATGACTCTATTAAAACCATTTTCCAACCCTATCATATGCATCTCTGGACCTTGAATGGGACTCACTATAGCTACCCTCATATCTAGCTCTCTTGTTGCTGCCCTATTGGGCTTCATGACAAAGTTGCTCAACAGTGCGGGCATGATCAACAACATCTAGCAAGGAGTGACCCACCTATATCATAAATCACTACAACAAATTTTTATTATTAGTGATGAATAATATTGTCACTTAAAATTCATATTTCGTCACAAAAACATTTTTGAGACAAAAAAAATCCATTAATCTTTCATCCCTAAAGCATAGGTCACTAAAAGTATATTGACACAACTTAGTGTTTCGTTACTAAATAGAGGTATATTCGCTACAGAAATATTTTTCCCTAAATACATTGTATTTATGGTGAACTTGTTCGTCATAGAAATAATAAAATGTTGTAGGTAATAGTATATTTTTGTCACTAAAGAGGTTATTATGGATGAAAAAACTGATGTGTCACTAAATATTTAGTTTTATTAGGAACGAAATCATTTCTCTCTTTGTAATATGCATTCGTAGTTGAACAAACATTATTTCTTCACTAAAAATTATCTTTTAGCTACGATTTCTTTTGTCCTTAAATGTATGAATTAGTAACAATTTTTCTTTTATACAATTTTGTAGATGAAAATGATGGTATCGTTGCTAAAAATAATTCTATTACCGACAAAATAAAATTATCACTAAAAATGTCATAATTAGCAAGCGTCAGAATTGTCATAAAATACAAAGTTAATTTGTAGGTAATAATTAGGCAATTTTTAGAAAAAAGATTAATGTTGTAACTAAATGTCATATTTTTAGGACAAAAATGAGTTCGTCCCATTGCAGTCGTTCCTAAAAGTTAAATATTGAAAATAAAGTGTTGTCAGTAATCACAAGAATCATGTGACATTAAAATTCGAAGCGCCACTATTTACAATTTTTATTTAATTATGTTTCCATTAATAGAATGTAGTGGTCTATTTTATAATGAGTATTATACAAATTATAAATAATAACTGACTACTTTGCGTCTAAACATTTCTCATTGCTCATGAAAAGTAAAGATAAAAAGTTTTGCATTTGGCTCACACGGATAGGTCTGAAGGCGTTTCAACAAAATCAAGAACAACCCTCCTACCTGAAAAAATGTTGGTATTCCTGCAAAGATAGCTAGCCATCAAATGAACCCAATGACCATTTCAAAGCAAAAGCGAAAACCACAAGTAAATAGGAGGAGAATAAAGAAGATTCTAGCATGACATGCATTTATACAAACACTTATTCTACCAAAACTGCAATTATCAATCCATTTAATCAATCGAAAATAGTTTATACAAAAATAAATACAAATCACTTGATACTAACTACTTTATAGAAATACAGACCAAAATAACTCAATTATACAAGTACACGTGAATTATATAAATGTACCCATGAATTATCCAAATGAGGTGTGAATTATAAAAACGAGGTCGCTCATAGTAACTTAAACTATAGCTACAACCCGTAAATATGCAAACTATTGCTAAGGAGGATAATTTAGTTTATTATAATGGCTATTTGTGGGGAAAAAATTCCCTATTTTTATTTGTTTTTACCTTTAATCTTTTATAAGTGACCCCATAGAGAGTATTAGGGACAAGTTTTTTTTTAATCAATTTAAGGAACATATTACCTTCCTTGAGTTATTAAAACAACAAAGAATTAACAACCACAATAAAAAGTTGTATCTAAAAGGGTACATTTGTGGACAAGCTTCTCAACTCATCGCTAAATGTTGGTCATTATTAACCCTTTTTTCTTGTAGTGTTGTAATCATAAACAGGTGTAGCAAATATAACGTTATTTTTGTATATATTTTTTTCATAGAAGTAGTTAATTATTCGTTTACAAATCGTCCCTATTTAAATATTGCATATTTTGTGACAAAACAATGATAGTTACTTAATCGCATGTTGATTAGAGACAATAGAATAATCTCCACTAATTCCTTATTTATTAGTGACAAAAAATAAGGTCACAAATAAGTAGAAAAATTTGTGTCTAAAGCTTACACCCTTTAACTACGAACTATAATTTGTCATTGTTGTAACAAGTTATTTATTATGACGAACCTTTTTCGTATCCAAAATTATAACTATTCTAAGGCAAATAATAGTTGTCACAAATTGAATGCATTATTAGCGACAATATTTTGTGTCACTAATAACTTAATGTTCGTTGTTTATGATACCTAATAAATGGCACAAAATTATTTTTTGGTGCGAAACTTTAGTGAATAAAAATTTGCTACGAAATTAAATGTTTCGTCACTAAAAGTATATTGCTTCATGAATTTAAACACGAAATGAAAGTTTTGACTCAAACAGTCAATAATTAGTGATGAATTTTGTGTTGTACCTAATAATTTCGCAGCTAAATATCACATTTGTTGTAGTGCGACCACGTGCGAACGGAGACCTGCCACTCGCGAATGAGGCAGCACGCACGTGAACAAGCAGGCCCAGGATGCCATCCGTTCACGCTTAAAAGCTTTTTGTCTCCAAACACGTTTGTGGCAACGTAGACACTTTCTCCACTATATTATAAATTGTGGGAAACATGTCCCTGCTATTTTTTAAATGTATAAAAGCAATTAAAAATTCCAAAAAAGACTAAAAATAATAATATGGTACTCCTTAAAGTTCCATGGAAAACCTCTACCGCATAAAAAAAAACTCATACAATTTTCACTCTTAATACCCATATGGAAACTTATACAATTTTTCACCGTAAATACCCTTACAATTTAAGCCCATAGAAATTTAACCTTAAATACAACAAATTTTGAAGAATCCACAAAGGGAAGGGAAAATTGAGATCTGCACCGACTGCTTCGTTATCAATCGATGATTTGATAACTAGAGATTACCTAGAGAGAAACAAAGATAACCCAAATTTTTTCAAGTACTTGGCATGATTTGTGTTGATCATAGTGAATGAGTGTTATTTGAATTAATTTCTTGGGTCTTATTATTCTTTAAATCAATTCATTTAATCCTATAATTTAATAACTTGTGTAATATATGATTAGTATGTAGAATGTCCTTCAATTTCTTTTCCATCTGAAACTGAGTGGCCATTGAAAGTCTCATTTCATGGTTGCGGTGGATGGAGGGATCAACAAATAAAATGGAAAGAATGGATTCAAACGATTGAGTGTATCCATCACCCCGTATGGAAAATTGTAGGGATTTATGGAGCTATCAAGAGTTCAGTTTATAGAGTCCAGTGGGATTAACATTTGATTTTTGGGTTGGTAGAAAGGTGGTCTTTTGAGACTAACATTTTTGTGTTTCAGTGGGGGTGAAGCTACTGTTACTCTTGAAGATATGATGATTTTGGGTGACTCAAAACTCATTCAATGATTCCGCAGTAAATCGCACATGACTAGTCCTAATTTGACCTTGGCTCCACATAACATAATGTGAATTCCAATTTGCATAGAATTCATGTACTAAGCTCAAATTGCACTGACCTTGATCCACAAAGATAAAGTTGAGGCCCAAAGCACGAACTTATGCGTGAATGTAAGGAAAGTTTTCTAGCAATCTCCCCTGATCGACATACTCATCACCCATGTACTTTGATTCTTGTTGGAAATCGTACCACTTTTCTCCATAATGCATTACAACTTGTTTGCCAAATTTTTGAGGCGGCAAGTCGGTGGGTTCCCGTTTAGAACTTCTAGTAGCCGCCCTTTTTGGACTCGCTTAGTATCCGGGCCACTAGAAACAATTTTTCCCTTGGAAGTCATCTTCACACCCAACAATGGAAGAAATGAAGAAAGAAAAGAATTTTGGGGAAGAGGAGGTGGGGGGTTGGTTGGCAGTGGAGTGGGTGGGGTATGTGGGTTTTGAGGCTTAAATGGATTTTGATGGGTTTTAGTGGTTGGAAGTTGAGGGAAAGGTAAGGGAAGAAGGTTCGAGGAATGATTCATGGAGGAAATTAGGATTTTGGGGAAGAAAGGAAATGGAGAAGAAGAAGGTGAAGAAGAGTTGGTAATTTTGGGAGAATTTATGGGAGTTGGTCGGTTAGAGAGAGAAAAATAGAGAGAAAGTGAGGTGTATTTGGGTAGGTGAAAGATTTAAGGTTTGTTTTGGGGGTGGGTCCCATGGAAAAGAAAAACATTACAAAATTCGGCTTGGGTAGGCCTAGAGTGATGGTGGCGCAGTGTACTGCTAGTGCGCCCGAAATGGGACTCAGTATTTAGGCTTTGGCGCGGTGCGCCCAACCTGCGCCTGGTCTGGTGGCGCGATGTGCCTGCCATGGGAGTTTATTTTTTGGCCTGGCGCGATAGAGGCGTGTTGCACAGCCAGTGCGCCAAAAATGGGCCTCAGTTCTTTAGCCTCTGTCAACCTGTGCATCAACCAAACAACGTAACGTAACAATACTGGGTTGCCTCCTACCCAGCGCCTCAGTTTTGGTCGTGGCACGACACCTCTTTTTGTATTTTTCTCTATAGCGCCTAACTACTACAAAAGAAATCTAACTTAGACAAATCGCTAAAAATAACTAAATAAAAACAAGAACTGTTGACTAGATCCTATAAACTTTAAACTAGGCTAAAAATTCAAAATTAAGCAAAACTAACAACCTATTACATAACTTTAATGGGTTTCCTCCCGTGGAGCGCCTGGTTTAACATCGTGGCTCTACTCAACTTGGATCAGCCATCATTCAACTCAAGATCTTCCTGATCACGATCTGAATATTTATCAAAGTAGTGCTTGACCCTTTGCCAATTCACCAAGAACGACGGGATATTCTTACCTTTAAGTTCCACGGCACCATGTTGTGTCATCCTCACCACTTCGAAGGGACCACTCCATTTCGATCTTAGTTTTCCGGGGAATAACTTAAGTCTTGAGTTAAAGAGTAGTACCTTTTTGCCAGGTGTGAAAGTGCATGGGACTATATGTTTGTCATGCCATCTTTTGGTTTTCTCTTTGTATAGCTTCGCAGTCTCATAAGCATGGAGCCTAAACTCCTCAAGTTCATGCAATTGACCCATTCGCTTCCTAGCCTCCAGCTCAGGGTCAAGATTTAGCTTCTTTATTGCCTAATACGCTTGGTTCTCTAATTCCACCTAAAGATGACATGCGTTGCCAAAAACCATCTGATAGGGAGAAGTCCCTTCCTATGGGTGTTTTATATGCAGTTCTATACACCCATAATGAATCATCAAGCTTCTCAAACCAATTTTTTCTTTGCGCATTCACTGTCTTCTGCAAGATTTACTTCATCTCTCTGTTCGATACATCCACTTTACCACTTTTTTGAGGATGATAAGTGATAGCAACTTTATGTCGAATACAATACTTAGCAAGAAGATTCTTCACTAAATGGTTAATGAAATACTTGCCTCCATCACTTATGATAGCCCTCGGAGTGCCAAAGTGAGTAAAAATGTGCTTCTTGATGAATTTAATAACCACTCTTGAGTCATTCGTGGGAAGAGCTACCGCCCGACCCATTTTGACACATAATGAACAGCCACTAGAATATATTGGTTTCTGCTAGATGGTGGGAAGGGACCCATGAAGTCAATATCCCACACAACAAAGATTTCCACCTCAAGAATGTTATTTAGTGGTATCTCATGTCTTCACAATGTAGTACCCAACCTTTGGCATTGATCATATCCCTTCACATAGGCAATAGATTTTTTAAACAAGGAGGGCCAAAAGAAACCAGATTGAAGTACCTTGTGCATTGTACGCTCTCCTCCGTGGTGCCCTACATACGTACTCGCATGACAACTCTCAAGTACTTGCTTGACTTGACACTACGGAATGCCTTGTCACAGAACTCTATCCACTCCTTGTTTGAACAAGAATGGTTCATCTCTAATGTGGAACTTTGCATCATGAGTCAACTTCTTTTTCCATTGAGTAGTTGACCGTGGGGGATACTCTCCACTCACTAACAAATTCACTATATCAACATACATGGGCACTGGAGATATATCCAATTCCATCAATTGTTCATCTGGAAACTCTTCCCGGATATGTTTCCCTTCATGTAGATGGGCGAAATCTTCCAACCTGGACAAATAATCCGCTATTTGGTTATCAGTACCTTTTTAGTCTTTGATCTCAAGGTCCAATTCTTGGAGAAGCAATATCCACCGAATCATCCTTAGTTTAGCATCCTTTTGGTTGAATAGGTACCTAATAGCTGCATGGTCAGTATAAACAATAACCTTGATACCTACCAAATACGATCTGAACCTGTCGAAAGTGAATACTAGAGCCAGCATCTCCTTCTCAGTCAAGCTCGACTACTCACTCGGCGGAATGCCAACTATTTAGTTTCTTCGTCGAAATTTACAAGACCTCTGGTTTACGGGGGGTCCAAACGATGGTTTCCATCGTGTCGGTGATTTGCCAATAATTTCCAAAGCTTGCCGAGTTTTACATACTCCAATGCAAGATGGGCTTGAGTCTAACGACGGTCTAGTTCAGAGTCGCTGAATTGTTTGGCGATTCGCTGATTGGACCTGTTACTCGCCAACTTGCACTTTTCGTTCACTCTCCAAACTTCCATCTAGACAATCAGCACACCATTATTTTATCCAAGCAAAAGAAAGCAATAAATGGTTTTGGGTTGCCTTCCAAATAGCGCCTTAGTTAACGTCGTGGAACCATGCAAGTCAACAACTTCAAACCTCACTCTTGGGGTTAGCCATAGTATCACTAGGCAAACCCCCCTGCTATCTCGGATTGAGGTGAGACAAGATATGACCCATCTGGGTCTCCAACTGCTTGATTGAAACAAAATGGGAGGTGATAGTCTGGCTGAGGGTAGAAACATCTTCTTTCATGCCTTTCAGCATTTTGTCTGACCCTACAACTTTGTTGAGGATACGCGAGAGCATATCCTCAAACTTACCATCTTCCGAATCCTTGGGCTTCTGGCACTCATGGGGAGGCATATATCTATCCTTCTCCCCATATTTCCAGTTTGGATTTTGGTCCCTCCATTCACGATCTCTATCCTTCCAGCCTTTGTCTCTAGCCCAGCCTTGGGTACCACCCTTCCTTGGGTAGTTTGAACGATAGCCGCCAGCTTGATTTGCTAGAAAATTTACCTCCTCGTTATATAGGGCTTCAAATTTTATCTCTTCAGGATTTGCACACCCGACCCCCACAACGTTAACACTACGGGCACCAGCCCCCATAACATTTTTGGATAGAATGTCAAGCTGTGTCATGATTTTGGCCATGTTTTGGTCTCTCTCATTGTCTTTTTCAATCTGCTCCTTAGATAGCTTAAATGTGAGAGGGGATACTTGGTCCTCGCGAATGTACCACGCTCTATTGATGGTTGTCATGCCATCTAAAAGTTGGGCTGCTAGTGCATATGGCTGCTGCATTGAGCCTCCAGGCGAGAGTTGGCCAGCGAAACCTCTGTTTACCGAATCTAAACACTGGTAAAAGTATTGAAGTAGCATGTTGTCCGGTAAACCGTGGGTTGGGCATTGCAGCACCAACTTTTTGAACCTTCGCCAAGTTTCATGCAGAGGCTCTCCTTCTAGACGTTTAAAGCTCTGGATGCTATCCCACAGTGACATCATCTTCGAGGGAGGGAAAAATCGCACTTGAAATGCGGTTACCAACTCCTCCCAAGATGTGATGGATTGACATGGTAGCTCGGCTAGCCACTTGCACGCCTCTCCGATTAGCATGAAAGGGAATAGCCTCAACCGGACTGACTCCTGAGAGATGTTTTTGAATGAGAATGGTCTGCACACATCTACAAAGTTTTGAAGATGCTCGTGAGGATCTTCATGAGCCAGTCCGTTGACAAGTCCCTTTAGTTACAGGAGTTGCAACATGGCTCTCGTTATGTGGAACACTACATTTCCCACGTCTATGTTAAACGGATGGCTTCAACACCTCCCATGATATTGGGGCCATTGATGTTGGGCTCTTGGACATCATTGAGATTTCTGATGTCGTCTTGGTGGCCTACCAAGCTACCGTTGCTACCATTAACACTCATGCTTTCTGAAATGTTCACACAACAAACATAACAAAACTAAATATTAGGTAAGAAGACTACAACTAAGAAGAACAAAAATTCTACTTATCTAAGAATTCTCAAGTAACACCACTCCCCAGCAACGGTGCCATTTTTATGTATGCGTAATCAAGACACAACTTCCGATGCAATTGTCTACGATCGTACAATAGTTTAGTAACTCAACCAAGGGTTGGCATCGTTCCCAAGAGAGTGGTTTTGAGAATTAATAAGAAAATAAAATTTAGTTCTAACTAGTCGTAGCTAAAGACATTAACGTTTAAAAACATTGTAAATTAAAGGGCGACACAAGAGTGTCAATTAATAAAGGGGTTTTTTTCACTAGTAAGTAAAAACAACAAAATAAACAAACGATTCTAAGTAATGAGAGGGATCCTTGGGATGTGACGGGAATACAGGTTAAGCTAGATTCTTGGGTACATGCTTTCAATAGAAGATTCATAGAATAATTGTGACTAGGCTAAACTTTAAGAGGGATAAGCTCTCTCTCGAGCAACTTACCCCGTTTCAAATTCGTTCCTCTCTGACACCCACTTGCCGCATGAAGACCAGCCTATGCCTTAACCCACTCACTCTCTCAACCTGAATGTGTGGACATGGCACTAGGGTTCACTCTCTCGAGCTGAACCTCATGTCGACCCACTCACACTGGCCATCAATCTAGTGGTCTTGGTTTTACGACCTCTCTCTCGAGCAAGCCGAAAACACATAAATAAACTTGTATTTGCAACTACAAATTCATTAAATTCATCCACAACCACTAAACGAAATTACATTTAAACTACGAATAGACTATCAGAAAGCAAAACCCAACAATTATCTTAACCCATATTCGCTAAATCACACCCCAAAAATTGGGGGTTTTAGCCACACATGTATAAGAGATAGAATTTTATACCAAATTGAGCTCGCCTACAACTGGGTATGAAGATTTAAGTCTTTATACAGGCCAAAATTGAAGAATCCAAGAGACCCAAACCCAAATCTTGAAGATGAAACCCTTTGGAACTTCAAGTCTTCAAAACCCTCTCAAACTTAGGGCAAAAATATCAAAGCATACTATTATATATGAAAATTATAATAATTTTTCAACTCCTAAAACTATAACTCTAACTAGTATTTATAGTTTTCACAAATTTGTGCTACAGCGGATCATTTGGTGTTGTTAGTCGAAATCGCCGACTCGGCGATTCACCTTTTGGTGTAACTCATCGCCATCTTGCACCAGCCTTCAGCATCGTCGCGCTTTGGGTCATTGGGAGACATGGTACTGCTTCGCGGAACTTCTCGGCGATGCGCTGACTGCTCCCTTTTTCCACCGACTTGATCCTTTCTTTCAGGGCTCAGCACACTGTAACAAAATGTGAAGTAAGACCCTTCGGTGATCATCATGCCTTCATTTCTTCATTCTTTTCAGCCCTTTCATTCCTTTTTTTGCGACGTAGTGTCCATGATTTCCTTCAAACTTGAAATACCCAAAACTTAAGGGTTTTCATCTGATATTGACATAAAATAAGCATTTGAGGACACAGTTTCTATTAAAGTTTAGCCCTAAATGAGTCCAATTTATGGACTCATCACTGGGGCGCCGCACCAGCTTCCCTTCTTGGCATTCCTTGTCAGCCGCAATTCCTTCACTATCATGATTCGACAACTTCTCTTTGGAACCCTGCAAAATAGTTAATCATGTATATTAGCATGCAATCATCGCAATGCTCTGTCAAAAAATAATAGTTAGATTAGTGAATGTCCTTAAACTTATGTAACAAGATGGGTAATTCGTAGTAATTGGGCATTTAAATATGCCCAATATCATATATGAAGGCTAGTAAAGTGAAAAACATATTCCAGTTAAAACTTAGGAGTATTTATCATGACAACCACTAATCAATGCTAGTTGAACTTTCTATCTGAGTGATATTTGCTACTACTATGATGTTCCCACAACAAGAAAAAGGATATTTAGTG